AACACCATCAGACGAAAAAGGTTTATTTCTTAAACTTTACAAAGAAAAAAGATTTATAAATCCAAGTTTTGAAAATTGTCACATAATTCATCACATTTCACACTAAAAAATATTAATTAATGAAACTGGGTGCCTTTCAACTTTCTTCAACACCAAAGAAAAAAAGAATTTCATGAAAAAAATAATAAGAGAAAATATATTTAGAAAAAATACTAATACTAAGAAGAAATTAAAGAGAAAAGAAGTATGAGAAAAAGCCAAAAGCAACTGCCAAAATATTTTCAATTGTGAAAGCACAGGGAAAAACATGCAAAATCAAAACACCAACACCACCAGACAAAAAAGGTTTACTTCTTAAACTTTACAAAGAAAAATTTATCTTTATAAATCCAAGTTTTGAAAATTGTCACATAATTGATCACATTTCACACATGTTATCACACACTAAAATATTCAATGAATCTAGGATAGGGCTAAAATAATTCAGGTTCTTCTGGGGTGCCTTTCAACTTTCTTCAACTTCATTCATTCTAAAGAGAAAAAGCATTTCATCAATCCTTTTAGGCAAAAAGTTGTATTTTCAAACCTGACATCATTATCAAAAGATATTACTCATTATCTTACTTTAGCTATCTTTCATGGATAGACAATACATTCGTGAATGCATTTTGTTTTATGCCAATTATATTTTAGCTATTTTCAATAAAAAGAATGTGTCACATGCATATATTCAACCCAGAAATATGTCACTATTTAATTTGAACACAGAAAAACTGGGTACCACCCTTCTGAGTACTACAGAATATAAATCACATGGAAATCAGAAAAATTTCTCCCAAGTTTAAAATAGTAATTGCTGGTCTTTTTCATGGATATTTATTGTAAGACCACCACAGGAATTATAGTAATCAGCCAGACTTGTTCAGCTGCTATAGCATTAAGTTTCATCATTGGTTTCACACATGGTGACCATAGAAGCAAATTTCAATTTGATTGTTGTCATCTCAACAATGTAGTGGCTTTTTAAAATCAAATGCTGGCCATCCATGACAAAATTAAATTACCTCAGTGCAGATATCTTGTTCACTTTCCAATCAATGTACATCTGACAGTAAAGTTCATATCCACGACTCATATTGCACTCTTGACCAGGAAAATCTTGAATATAAAGAACATTATTAAAAAAATTCCATTTTCAACTATCTTAATTATTGTCTAGTTTTTGTCAGGCATTCTATGGTTACTTCATCCCTCTATATATAACTATGGTTGCTATATTTATTCAAAGACCAGCACAGGAATTTATTACTGGTGACACATAGTGAGTATAGAAGCAAAGTTCACTTTATAATCTTAACAAAATTGTGACTAGCTGCCTGACGATTTTCATGAAAAAGATCCTAGTTGCAGCAAATTCCCCCTTATAATAAATAACAAAATATACATCCGGGCAGTTGATATGTATTACAAAGTCACTACAAGAATTTCAGCTGCAAGGCTAATATAAATTTTGAAGGAACAATCAAATTACCTCTGCAAAAATCTTGTTCACTTCCAATTTTCCTCTGACAGTAAAGTCCATATCCACAGCAGCTAATGTGGCTGGTTGCACTCTTGACCAAGGAAAATCTTGAATATATAAAGAAGTTATTATTAAGACTAAATTCCATTTTCAACTATCTTAATTATTGTCTAGTTTTTCGTCAGGTATTCTATGGTTACTTCATCCCTCTATATATAACTATGGTTGCTATATTTATTCAAAGACCAGCACAGGAATTTATTACTGGTGACACATAGTGAGTATAGAAGCAAAGTTCACTTTATAATCTTAACAAAATTGTGACTGCCTGACGATTTTCATGAAGATCCTAGTTGCAGCAAATTCCCCCTTATACTAAATAACAAAATATATATCTGGGCGGTTGATATATATTACAAGGTCACTACAAGAATTTCAGCTGCAAGGCTAATATAAATTTTGAAGGAACAATCAAATTACCTCTGCAAAAATCTTGTTCACTTCCAATTTTCCTCTGACAGTAAAGTCCATATCCACAGCAGCTAATGTGGCTGGTTGCACTCTTGACCAAGGAAAATCTTGAATATATAAAGAAGTTATTATTAAGACAAAATTCCATTTTCAACTATCTTAATTATTGTCTAGTTTTTCGTCAGGTATTCTATGGTTACTTCATCCCTCTATATATAACTATGGTTGCTATATTTATTCAAAGACCAGCACAGGAATTTATTACTGGTGACACATAGTGAGTATAGAAGCAAAGTTCACTTTATAATCTTAACAAAATTGTGACTGCCTGACGATTTTCATGAAAAAGATCCTAGTTGCAGCAAATTCCCCCTTATAATAAATAACAAAATATATATCCGGGCAGTTGATATATTACAAAGTCACTACAAGAATTTCAGCTGCAAGGCTAATATAAATTTTGAAGGAACAATCAAATTACCTCTGCAAAAATCTTGTTCACTTCCAATTTTCCTCTGACAGTAAAGTCCATATCCACAGCAGCTAATGTGGCTGGTTGCACTCTTGATCAAGGAAAATCTTGAATATATAAAGAAGTTATTATTAAGACAAAATTCCATTTTCAACTATCTTAATTATTGTCTAGTTTTTCGTCAGGTATTCTATGGTTACTTCATCCCTCTATATATAACTATGGTTGCTATATTTATTCAAAGACCAGCACAGGAATTTATTACTGGTGACACATAGTGAGTATAGAAGCAAAGTTCACTTTATAATCTTAACAAAATTGTGACTGCCTGACGATTTTCATGAAGATCCTAGTTGCAGCAAATTCCCCCTTATACTAAATAACAAAATATATATCTGGGCGTTGATATATATTACAAGTCACTACAAGAATTTCAGCTGCAAGGCTAATATAAATTTTGAAGGAACAATCAAATTACCTCTGCAAAAATCTTGTTCACTTCCAATTTTCCTCTGACAGTAAAGTCCATATCCACAGCAGCTAATGTGGCTGGTTGCACTCTTGACAAGGAAAATCTTGAATATATAAAGAAGTTATTATTAAGACAAAATTCCATTTTCAACTATCTTAATTATTGTCTAGTTTTTCGTCAGGTATTCTATGGTTACTTCATCCCTCTATATATAACTATGGTTGCTATATTTATTCAAAGACCAGCACAGGAATTTATTACTGGTGACACATAGTGAGTATAGAAGCAAAGTTCACTTTATAATCTTAACAAAATTGTGACTGCCTGACGATTTTCATGAAAAAGATCCTAGTTGCAGCAAATTCCCCCTTATAATAAATAACAAAATATATATCCGGGCAGTTGATATGTATTACAAAGTCACTACAAGAATTTCAGCTGCAAGGCTAATATAAATTTTGAAGGAACAATCAAATTACCTCTGCAAAAATCTTGTTCACTTCCAATTTTCCTCTGACAGTAAAGTCCATATCCACAGCAGCTAATGTGGCTGGTTGCACTCTTGACAAGGAAAATCTTGAATATATAAAGAAGTTATTATTAAGACAAAATTCCATTTTCAACTATCTTAATTATTGTCTAGTTTTTCGTCAGGTATTCTATGGTTACTTCATCCCTCTATATATAACTATGGTTGCTATATTTATTCAAAGACCAGCACAGGAATTTATTACTGGTGACACATAGTGAGTATAGAAGCAAAGTTCACTTTATAATCTTAACAAAATTGTGACTGCCTGACGATTTTCATGAAAAAGATTAGTTGCAGCAAATTCCCCCTTATAATAAATAAAAAATATATATCCGGGCAGTTGATATGTATTACAAAGTCACTACAAGAATTTCAGCTGCAAGGCTAATATAAATTTTGAAGGAACAATCGAATTACCTCTGTGCAGAAATCTTGTTCACTTCCAATGTTCATTTGAAAGTAAAGTTCATATCCACAGTTAATGTTGCACTCTTGTCCAAGAAAAATCTTGAATATAAAAAGACATTATTAATATAAAATTCCATTTTCAACTATCTTAATTACTGTCTAGTTTTTGGTCAGGTAATCTATGGTTACTTCATCCTTCTATATATAACTATGGTTGCTATATTTACTTCAAGACCACCACAGGAATTTATTACTGGTGACACATAGTGAGTATAGAAGCAAAGTTCACTTAGCAATCTTAACCAAATTGTGACCGCACTGACAATTTTCATGAAAAAGATCCTAGTTGCAGCAAATTCCCTCTTATACTATTGAAATAACAAAATACATACCCAGGCAGTTGATATGTATTACAAGGTAGTGACAAGATTTCAGCTGCAAGGCTAATATAAATTTAGAAGAAACAATCGAATTACCTCTGTGCAGAAATCTTGTTCACTTCCAATGTTGACCAAGGAAAATCTTTAATATAATAAGACATTATTAATATAAAATTGCATTTATAACTACCTTAATTATTGTCTAGTTTTAGCAGAAGGCACACAAACAGTAAAGTAAAATACTTAACTTTGACCAGACAGCACAACAATCTTGCTCAGAAAGGTCCGCGAACGGTCCACGTGTATAGTTTTCTTCGGCATCGCCATTTTGAATTCGGCCGGGCGAGTCTTGAACTGATTTCTATTTCAACTGTTCTCTTGACGTTCGTCTTGATAACTAGCTGTTGAGATAAACGTTAATGACAAAATCTTCAGTTCTGCTTCAGTCTATGGGTACGAAAATTGCTCAAGACATAAATTTTCAGTAAAAAATTATCATCATTGCAGGCAAAATTAATCTCGAAACTTTAGATAACCTTGTACGCAGAATATTTCATATTGTATATGGTTTTTTGTTATTTCTGACCGACAATTAGCAGAAGGCACACAAACATCAAAGTAAAATACTTAACTTTGACCAGACAGCACAACAATCTTGCTCAGAAAGGTCCGCGAACGGTCCACGTGTATGGGATCGCCATTTTGAATTCGGCGGCGGCGAGTCTTGAACTGATTTCTATTTTCTATTTCAACTGTTCTCTTGACGTTCGTCTTGATAACTGGCTGTTGAGATAAACGTTAATGACAAAATGTTCAGTTCTGCTTCAGTCTATAGGTGCGGAAGTTGCTCATGACATAAATTTTCAGTAAAAAATTATCATCATTGCAGGCAGAATTAAGTTCGAAATTTTAGATAACCTTGTACGCAGAATATTTCATATTGTATATGGCTTTTTGTCATTTCTGGCCAACAATTAGCCGAAGGCACACAAACATCAAAGTAAAATACTTAACTTTGACCAGACAGCACAACAATCTTGCCCAGAAAGGTCTGCGAACGGTCCAGGTGGATGGTTTTCTTTGGCATCGCCATTTTGAATTTGGCCGGGCGAGTCTTCGCATTCATCTTGACAACTAGCTGTTCAGATAAACCTATATACAACGAAAAAAAAGGGTTCGGCTCAGCTACACTGTACTCCTTAAGGAAGGCCTACGGCCTTCCCGTAGATTAGTGTAAAGGCCTACAAGTGGGAACTAGCAGCGTGCGGGGGACCAAAACGCTCTAGGCAAACGGTCCCCCTACTGGGGTCGGACAAAGCAACCGCAGATTACGCATATAATCGCCGGAACCCACCTTTTAGTCAACGGCGAACTCCTTCTTCTTCGAACAATCTTCAATCTTGCTGAGCTTCGATCTTGCTGTCCACCTTCGATCGCCACCAATCTAAAGAAATTTTTTTTTAACGTTGAGATTAGTTTCATAGGCAATAATTACCATGTGATCTTAGCAGATCACGTGGTATGATAATGTACGACAACATGCCGATCAACTCCGAACATCATCGTGAGCGATGTTACTATAAACGAATCACTAAACGCCTAGAAAAAAGTTGTCCTTTCCTATATTTCAACCTTTTAAAAGCAGTGCATTCTAGTTTTGTTTTGAAGCACAATTTGTTTTTTGCTTCTAGTTTTTTGGTTTCGTTTTAAAAGGTGAATTGTCTCTGTGTGCCGAATTCTTTGTATTTCTGATGTCAAACAATCCTGTTCTTTTTGGTATCATAAATATAAGCTCCTTTGTTTTGGAGACATACAACAGTTTTTTTTATATTTTAGCCAAAACATATAGCAGCAATTACAGATTCACTAAGTTCATTCTCATCTTGATTCACAAATTTTTAAAGGACTTGAATCGATTCCATGCGGTCTACAATAGCTGGGCGAACGTCTTACACCTAAAGTCAGTCAAAGATTGTTGTATCTCAATTCTTCAGCTTCAGTGGTTCTTTAGACTTAGCAATAGTTTATTTCCCTTTCTTATCATTGCATTCCAGTTTAAAATTATAGTTTATATTGTATTTCCAGGCATTTATTCCATATTTCCCTTTCTTATCATTGCATTCCGGTTTCAATTTATAGTTTATATTGTCAGACAATAATTGTCTTTCCAGGCATTTATTCCACTACATATCTCCAATATTGTAAAAGTGGTTCTTTAAACCTCAGATCAAAACATTGGCAAAAACAATCTGAAACACAAAATATTAACATCAGACTCTGATAAAACAACATTGAATCAACGTTTAAACAATTCTACTTCCCCTCATTCTAAGGCTACTAAATGGTGCTGACCCCTCATATATCAAACTACATGCATCAACCTGCCTTGGCAAAAAAAAAACGGGCTTTAAAGAGTTAGTTTTCCATTTCTTTTCTTAGCACTTAATCGAATGTTTCAAAATACAAACTAATTTGGCAACACAGGTCCCACAATTATGTCAAACACCGAATACATGGTCTGAAATAATTCGCCATTCCTCTCGCCTCTCGACTGAAGGCGGATTTTTTAATAAAATTAAACCACAAATCTTTCTTAAAACTACTGCACCCTTACTGAAGTGTTCGGTTGGGGCATGGAATGTTAAAATAAAACAAAAACAACACACTATTAAAAAAAGTACGAAAATTTAATAAAATGGCGGCTTACTGCCTTACCTCGTGGTTTTCAAATCGCCTTTCACTTCATTTCTCGCTGGACTTTTAATCTAACAAAGCAGAAAAATGAACGTCATTTACGTGAAATAAATGCTTTGGCATAACAAACATTCTTACTCTAAAACGTTGAACTAATGCAAAGAAATCGACCGAAAAAATATTCAGAAAATTCCAACATTCGATGCGCGAGGACGAAGTCATATTAAAAAAGGCAGCAAACAAAAAACATACGCTTATAAGATATATATCTAGATATACTTATAATCGGAATATCTTTTTCTCAACAAGCTTCACTTCATTAAAATAACTTTATAGTTTCTCTTTAAAACATAGAAAATTAAAAAATTTCCGGGCTTTCCTTCCTTCGCCTTTCTTCTCCGAAATCTATCCTCGTTCCCGGTTTTTCGCGTACTGGGCGTGCCGAATGCCCCCCCTGATTTGTGCACAATTTACCGTACAATTTTATATTATTGATACTGCATGTCTAAATTCTAAAACGATCAATATTTTCAATACATTCAATATTTTTCAGGTAATTAGTTATTGTATTTAAAATTATTGTGATAATGATTTATTTGATTCTTTCTCCATGTAAATAATCATGAGAACAAGCATAGGCATAGAGTATGGGGGGCTGAGGGGCTCGGCCCCCAAGAAATCTTACTGGGGGGCCTCAGCCCCCCTAAAAATTTGCCAAAAAGTAATAATTGCATCAGAGCAATGTTGAATCTTTCAAAAAAGATCTTTATATACACATGAAACGGTATTATAGTTGATATTATAATATATCGAGCAACTCGGAAAAGCAATTGCGAAATACAGAATTTTCAAGCTGTAAATCATAAAATACATGGCAGCTTGTAAAATCATAAAATACATGGCAGCTTGTTCATTTTATCTTTCATTAGCTTTTCTACCCACAACAGGTCAAAATCATTGGTAAATATTTTCTCCACCTATCGGCCATATGAACCATGACTACCGATGCAACTATATATCAAGAGGAAATTTATTCTATTTAATTTTATCTAATGTCAGAAAGTGTTGCTAGCTAGATATCATGTATCTAAAGTTTAAGCCCCCCAGAAGAAAACAAAACTCTAAACCTATGAGAACAAGTTTCAAAATTCATGTTTGTAAATTCATAAATCCTTGCTCTTTGCACAAAATTCCTCAGTCAGCACTTTTTTATTGCTAAGACTCCCAGTGCAATCAATTACTCAGGCTTTTTGGAAACCTGGAAGGATGGCCCACAAAATCAATTTGGAATTTCCCACAATTTGCATAACCATCCAGAGCTCCCATTTTCATCATATAATACCAATAAAGATACAGTACAGATATCAGATATACAGAGACAAAAGAGTACAGAGATCAACTGAAGCACTAACATATTGTACATGATCCAATAAACATCTGGGGCTTTTAAGTCTAGGTCATTAATTTTTTTTCATTTTTATTTTGAAAAATATAAAAATCTTTTCATGACATATTGCAAGTCAAGTTGCTCTGAGTAAAAAAGACTTGTAGAAAATTTCAATTGCTATAGTTACCCAGAACAAACACACCCAATGGTGGAAAATAGACGATTTTTGCAAACAAGATAACAAACTAGGTTTTAACGCTAGAATGACAGCATTAGTTTTATTTAGTTCTAAATATTTTTGCCTCCAAGCTGAACCTCAAATAAATAAAACTTTTCCAAAACATTTTACAGGCTATATATTTAAAACTTCTATGATCTATCTAAAATAAACAGTCCCTATTTTACGTAGACTGAATGGTTCACGTCCCAGCCAATTGTCTTTAGAATAAACCATGAGAATTTTATCAAGTTACCTTTATTATTTTTCGAATTATCGTGCACGAAAGTAAAGGGAATGACAATTTTAGTTTGCTAAGAAAAACTAAAAAAGTTTTTCATTAATTATACAGAACAATGAAACAAGCTAATCGACTCCTTAAATTTTTAAAACAGGGTAAATCTACATTTTCAATGACCAACACCACCTTAATGAAATCTGCCAATTCTAGAGAGAGCATTTAATAGAGAGAGGCATTTATATCATTAGCACCACCATATTTTGAAGAAGTGAAAATACCACTAAGACTAAATATCAATAATTTGTGATGCCATTCTAATACATACAGCATCAAGTGTTAGTTAATGCAGTTTGTGCATGCAAACTTAAAAAGTCTCCCATGTGTTTCAAAGTCGCAATTTAGGGCATGTGCCTATTGCAAAAATTTCCTCATTGTCAAAGTTTGTGCAAACTGTTTGTGAATGTTTCCAAAACAAAACAATTAAATTACAAATTAAAATTGAACATTATAACCATGACACTCTGAAACACACAACCACACTAGGGACATTAAACATTACTGGGACGATTAAGTTCAAAATGGAAAACAAAATCATCTATTTATTGAACAACTGAGCTGAAATATTTCGATGTAAATAGTTTAATTGTCAATAGAAGTACATATTTAATGCGTAAGATGCAGGTACATTCATTCACAAGATCTGTTAGAGTACTTTTAAACTTGGGTTATCCACCGTTTAAGCTAAACGCCTTTCGAACAACCGGCCCCTGGTGTTTTGATTCGGAAGAGGCATTTATTAGACATAGATGCCTAATGCAAACATATGTTGAAGAGAGTAGTTTCAGACGTTTATAGGATAGAGACCGTTCATTGCATCATTTATGAGTGCAATCAAATCGAGTCCGTAAAATGCTGTAATACTATGACACAAGTTACTCAATATTCAATAACCTATCAAGCTCATTTGAAATAATACAAAGGAAAAGGAAAGCCCAAACGAAAATCATATTTGATTATATTTATGTAAGAAACTCACCGTAAATGACTGAAGTACGTTTTCAAGGAGGGACTTTGTTATCCACCATGTTACAAATGAATTTGTTTGGATGCTTCCTTCTAAAAAGGCAACATATACCAACTGCAGTTAATAAACACATACATCTTTAGCAACACTTGTTCAGTTCTAGGCAGACAATTTTTGATGCACAATTTTAAAATTAATAAATATACCTTGTTATTCTGTGAGCTGATAAAACCCTGATCTCATTTACAATCTATAAGATATCAAAAGTTGAAAAGTTTTACTCATTTGTAAAAGTTATAAGTAATGAGATGATAAAAGGCGAACATGCAGAAGGTGGGTTAATAGTTCACATATTTCCACGCAATATTTGTCCATTACTAGCTGGTAGTCATCACAGTAAACCATCAATTATGAGTAAAAGCAATCAGCTGTTATCCTTCCACATGTTAAATTCCACTTATTCGAATTCGAATAAGCTTTATATCGCTTAAGATTGCACTTAAAGAATAAAGCAAGGAGACGGGAAAATTTTCAATACCTTTTCCGAGCTTGTAGCGCCAACATATTACGATCTTTTTGCAAGAAAAACATTTCTTGATTGACCACCATATTGAATAGATCGAGAGAGAAGCTCATCGTGAACTGAGCATGTGTTAGGTTCAGCATAAATTATTATGTCATAGATACGATTACGTAAACTTCATTTGCATATATTGATTAGACTGATCGTAAATTAAAAAGGAAGACAAAAGAGGTTGCTACCACAACCCGGGGGCGCTTTGGGGTAGAAAAACAAACCCCCACCGCGCCCCCAATTGAGGTAGAAGAGAGGAGAGTTTTTAGAAAGATCCCGAAGGATCTCCAACGATACCGCCGTAGGCAGTAGCAGAGAGAAGACAGTCACATCATTCTATTTATACAAATTAACTATATACATATTTAAAAGAATTCTAAATAAAACTAGATCAAAATTAACTATTCTAATCACCATGCATTTTCCAATGGGCTGTTTAAACTCTTCGAAAGTCATAATGATTGTTGTTCTTCCTAATTTTTATAGAAAAGGAGTACTTCGCACGTAAAGTTAAAGTATAAGAAATTTTAAAAAACCTCTGCAATCATAACATTTAGTCCAAAATCGTCTACCACTTCAAGTTCTTTTCTATAGAAAGGTGATCTAGATCCCCTTACACTCGCATGTACCGATCTTAGAATATCGAAAGAGATTCTGGTTCTCAACCAAGCTATGACAACTGCATAACGTTCATGGTCTCTTTCTGCTAATTTCTGCGCCAGCTGACTAAGAAAATTGTGGCATTCAGACCCCATTCCGCCATTGGTTCTAAAAACAAGTGGGGTAAAGGAGCCCATTTCAACATCTAAAACTCTCTGTTGGTATTTTCTCTTCTTTTCGTTTTCCTTAAAAAAGTTCTGGGTTGGCCAGCCTTGGTTACATCGGGAGTTTATATGCGTTACTCTTACGTCAAAAAATGCAGTAGCTCCACGTAGCCTGAAACCGTCCGCCTTGATGTCCAATCTCGCTTCGGGACTTATATTGGCCGATCTCAAGTCAAATCTCTCATTATCAAGGGGTTGAAGATGAGGCTCAATTTCCACATTCTTACACACTTTATCAAGTTGCGCTGTTAGCAAATTACGGATTCCATCGTGCCTTTGTGCCACGAACCCACCTTTTTTACAAGAGAGGGCATGATTGATGTTAAAGCGATCTCCACACGCACAATGACTTGGTAAATCGTTCAAAGTTAAATTGTATCTC